CATCTTCCCTATTTCATTGCAAACCTGGAGGGTGAAAAGGTACCTTGTGAGAAACTCATCTTTTTTTTTTTTTTTTAAGCATTTTTGTTCTGTGTACTTTTTCCCTAGTACTGGGAATTGAACCCAGATCCTCAGGCATATAAGGAGAGCACTCCACCCCCGAGCCTCCCTCAGCAATGGGTTCCCTTCCCCTTTTAAAGCTAGTTTTAAACACATCCCAACTTGATGAAATCAATAATCACTTTTAATTGAAATAAGCGCAGCACACGTTTGAGGTCTTCTCTAGGTATCTTTGCTTCTGAGTAGTTACAGTTCCATCACGTGCCTTTAGCAGTTGCTGAAATAATCGACTTAGCACTTATTCCTTGAAGGAGTTGCCATGGGAAGAACATAATGGTCAGTGTAGGTAGCATCCTGTGGACTTCTGATTCATCTCATGAAGCAAGCACCTTAAAAACTAACCAAAATTCATAGTCTACCATGTGTGTGTTAAGCATTAACACACGGGCACTACCCATGTCCCTATAGTAATGGGTGTATTCCTACATGAATTAGTTGTCACTGAGGCAGACAAGGATCATTATCTACGCACATCCTCCCAGGCCATCCCAGTTTCAGTTAGAGGGGCAGCATCTGTAGGTTCACCTGGCAGATCATCTCCGATGGTAGACTTTTCCCCCTTTCCATGAAACACGATATAGGAATTGCTTCCCCTGGTTTTCCTTAGGATAAAATGTTAAGGCTCTTGTGAAAACTAAGAGTTTAGAGAATGTAGGTCCCTAAAATCTACCACTAATTTAACTATTAGAGCCCTAATGAATGCACTGAGGGTTATAGCAACAAACTGGAATCCAATTCTTTTGCATAAACTAAATACTTCCCAAACATTTGATCACTATGAGTGAGTGGTTGCCGAATATGCTAGCCTGGGGCCTTTCATTTCTTCTCATAACATTTGCAGTTGATTTATAAAGTTAATTTGGTATATGAGTCAAATAACCAACATTTCCTTTTTTATACATAATCAGAGAATTACGGAGTGTAGAAAATTAGAGGATAATGCCAATGACAGACAAGGTTGCTTTTTTCTAATGAACATCATTGAATACTAAAAGTTGTCTTTTCGAAAGTAAGGTTTGGGACAGCCAGATGGCTCAGTGGGTAAGAGTGTTTGCCATGCAAGCCTGGTGGCCCGTGTTCCTTCGGTCCCCAGAGCCCACGCTGAAAGGTCTTTTGACTCACACACACTATAACAAAATACAGTCCAACAGAGAAAATCAACCAGATGGAATTAGGCTACTGTCTGAAATCATCCTGTTAAGAAGCAGCCAGATTTGGATATAACATTTGCAATCAACTGGCATTTAGATAAAGGCCTGCCTCTCTGAGGGAGTTCACAAAATATTCAGTGCTGTGGAATGTTCTGTATGGCAAATGTGTTGCTAATTAGTTAATAAATAAAACACTGATTGGCCATTGGCTAGGCAGGAAGTGTAGGCGGGACAAGGAGGAGAATAAAGCTGGGAAGTGGAAGGCTGAGTCAGAGAGACGCTGCCAGCCGCCACGATGAGAAACAGCATGTGAAGATACCGGTAAGCCACAAGCCACGTGGCAAGGTATAGATTAATAGAAATGGGTTAATTTAAGCTGTAAGAACAGTTAGCAAGAAGCCTGCCACGGCCATACAGTTTGTAAGCAAAATAAGCCTCTGTGTTTACTTGGTTGGGTTTGAAAGGCTGTGGGACTGGCAGGTGAGAGAGATTTGTCCTGACTGTGGGCCAGGCAGGAAAACTTAACCTACAATTCAGGGGTAAATCTAACGTTGCAGAAGAAATAACTACTGAAAAATATTTTTTCACTTTGGACGAGTCTGTAAACTACAGCTTTGTTATAGAGAAGTGCATATATAATTAATCAGCTGTGGATAAAAATTTGTGGAAATACTTTTGAATAAAGTGATGTGCCAAATCTGAACAAAATCTAAAACGACAGCTTGACTAAAAGTTGTATTGGCTAAAGTCTAGTTTTGATTTTTTTTAAAAGATTTGTATCCATGCGTGTATGCATATGTACCTGTATAAGTGTGTGCACACAAATGTGGGGTGTGCGTGCTTGTGTTCTCAATCATTCTACCTATTTCTTCAAGGCAGAGTCTCATTCCTGAACCTGGGGCTCTGTTTCCTATTAGGCTGGAAGACCACAAGCCCCAGTGACTCTTTTAGCTTGGGTTTGCTGCCTCACCTGGCTTGTTACATGGGCACTGGAAACTGAAATCTGGTCCTCGTGATTTTTGAGCAAATGCTTTTAACCCCAGCCATCTCTCTAGCCTCCATCACTCTAGCTTCCTCAAGGGGTGTGTGTGTGTGTGTGTGTGTGTGTGTATGTATCTGTATGCACATATGTGTGCATGTATGTGTGTACACACCTGGCCCATGCCAGTCCATGTGAGGGGCCAGGGGAGGACGCTCAATATCTTCCTCTCTCTCTCTCTCTCTACCTTACTCCGCTGAGACAAGGTCTCTCATTGGACTGGAAGATCACTATCAGGGCTAGAGAGCAAGCTGTCAATATCCACTCATCTCTGCCTCCCCAATACTGGGGTTACAAATATGCCTGTGCCTCCAGCTTTTTGGTGTGTGATGTGGATTTGAACTCAGGTCCTCCTACTCGCACAGCAAATGCTCTTATCCAGAGCCACCTCCCTGGCCACTATTTTTAATGTTTCCTTGAGAAACTTTATTCTGGAGCACAGATTCAGTTATGCAAGGCTGTTTAAGCTAGGGGTCAGTACACAGCCACCTGTAAGTTGGAGATGGGAGAGGGCTTGCTCTTGAACAGCAGTTCTCAACCTGTGGGTCACGATCCCATTGGAGGTCCATTGGGGACCCCTCTCACAGGGGTCACCTAAGACCATGGGAAAATTTACAATTCATAACGGTAGCAAAATTACAGTTATGAAGTAGCAACAAAAATAATTTTATGGTTGGAGGGTCACCACAACATGAACTGTATTGAAGGGTCACAGTATCAGGAAGGTTGGGAACTACTGGTCTAGAAGGTAACAAGATTTATTGAGCAATTACTCTAGAGCTATAGAATTCAAAGCAGTCTGGGTATTAGGGAAGACAAGTAGACTGATAAAACAGAATAGAGCCCAGAGACAAACCAACCAACTTGTAGGTTTATGGTAGAGATGACATTAAGTTCATAGCAAAAATTTCTGAGATCTCAGAAATAAACGATTTCCACTGATAAAAGGACACCAACATGTTGTCATCTGCATCCTATAAAGATCAAGATCTCGATGTCTTTTTGAATGTGAAACTTGACAAGCCCATTCTCAAATCTCTATGGAATAGCAAAAGCTCCTTGATGATTGGAAGTCTTTCCCTGGCAAGTTAGTATGTGAGATTGGCATGGAGTCAGAAAAACAGATCAATGGAGTAAAAGAGACTGGTAACTAAACATTTGCCCAGAAACATGGAAAAGTAGGACTTTCTCCCTAGGAAAAAGCACCAAAGTCACCTGGGAATTGGTAAAGATCACATCCCCAGCCTTTCTCACACTTACAAAACAAGGCATCTCCATGGACGGATGATGCTCTCAGACACACATCACTAGAAACTGCTATGGAAATGAAATGTTCACAGTAGACGAAGGTGTGGCTCCGAGGTAGAAGGCGAGCATAACACGTACCAGACTCTGGTTTGGTCTCCAGCTCTGCATTTTAAAAAATGCTAATGTTCACAATACATTAGTGAAAAGTTTCTGGATCCAGATTCCTACCAGAGGTTGGAATCCTTTTCTTTGGCAACTGACAGTGGAATACACACTAAGTAAGGAAGCCTTCACTGGTCCCCAAAGCTAGGCCTGTAACATTTTACATGTCAAACTGTGTTTACACATGAAACCCTTACTAGCCAATGTCTGAGAAAGGAAGGCAGTTCAAATCTGGGACCTGGCTAAGGCCCACATGGTTGGGAGTACCAGATAGACACATGATCTTATAAAACACCAACACCAACAGTCACTGATGTGAGATGACACAAGATGACTTCGTAAGTTCACCGAAGCATAGGAAAATGGAAACCATGGGATGCCAAGTGTCCCAGTTACTATGAGGGACTGTAGCTTCTTCACAAAGTGTGCCTTTAGCCAAGCTCTAATCTTAGAGATTACACAGGCACTATACAACATTTCCTCAAAGACTGTATACAACAGTGTTCCCATAAATTGTATTGCCCAAAGACATCATGGCAGTCTTTCTTAGTTGGATTAAGTATACTTATCTTGGACTACTTCCCTATCCCTTTGTTTTGAGACAAGTTCTTACTATGTAACCTGGTTGCCCTTATACTTACTGATCCCTACCTCAAGACAGGAGCTCCTGCTTCTTTTGGACCCTATCCAAACACCAAATCCTAACATTTTCTTGCCGAGATACCAGCCAATTCCTTGAGGTATGCCCTTGGTGTGCACTGTTCATCTTAACATGAACATTAACTACAAGTGTGTTCCAGAACCTGGCTGACTGAAACACATCAAAACAATGTTGTCTTCTTCCACCACTATTGCTTTACAGGGTGACCTGGTACGCAACCAAGATTACTCTAAGCTGTATTGCTACATGACATGTTAACAAAGGCTTGTTGGACTCTGCAAATAGCTTGCAAACAAGAGAAGAAAAACAGCTTTCAACTCAAGTCTAAGACAATGCCTCCTAGCCACTGGAACTCATCGAGACAGGGTAAACTTAAAATAAGCAAGCTCTCAAATCAATGTCTACCACTTCATGTCTATAATTTATTGCTTTATCCTTGTTTGGCAACTTGAATGTTCTAAAGAGCAGATATTTGCTGTAAAACCACAGGCAAGCTACTATCTGCTTCATAATTGAAGTTCTCACCAAGGCAGACAACTGTATGTATGTGCATAGCTTTCCACTTGCATTGTCACAATTTTTTTTTTTTTTTTTTTTTTTTTTTTTTTTTTTTTTTTTTGAGACACAGGTCTTAGGATGTAGTCCGTGCTGACATGAATGGACTTACTGTCTCCCTCAGCCTCTCAGGTGCTACGATTATAGGCAGGCATCACAAACTCACCAGCATACATCTGTTATAAAACTACTGCAGCTCCCAGGACCTTTGCAGCTCCCAGGACCTTTGCTTGCTCTCCTTGGCTGCCACTACTGTAACTTCTATCAGTGTATGACATGGAAAGGAAAAGGAAAGGGGGAAACTGTGTAAGCATGGAAAAATGACTCAGAATGGGAGAAGGGACTGGAGCTGGACAGTTCTGAGATCCTGGGTAATCTCAACAGCAGAATTTACAGATTTACAGTGGACTAATTTCCAATTTTATGTTAACACTACATCCTTTCCTCCAAAATTAACTACAGAAAGAGATAACACTGTATTTCTAAAAATACTGGAAGCTAAACCTGTAAGAACAAAATAACACTATCTCAGAAGTCCCTTTGTCCAGGCCCCTATGTTACATTTTGAAAGGCATAGTTGTTAGGAGCCTGCCCTCACTCCTGCACCTGCGCAGCTTGGGGTCTTGTGTCTTACATCATCAGGGGGCACTGGCGACTACATACACACCTTAAAAACCGGGATGCAGCCCCCTGCTCGCTCTCCCTGCTCCCGCCATCTCTCTCTGCTTCCTGTGCTCTGCTCCTACCATCCCCTCCCCCCCACCGGGCTCTCCTCTCTATCCCCTCCTTCCTCCCAATAAAGCTCTGTAACTCTGGTAGTCGTGGTCGTGACTTTTCTGCCCGTAACCAGCGCTGCCACCAGCACCGATTAACATCCTTCCAATAGTGTTAAAGATGTACCTGTCTAATTAACTACTTAACTACTTTAGGGAGACTTCTAAGTAATTTTGTAGCTCAGTTGAAGGATACTTCCCTTCCCTTCTGTGAAGTGCTAAGCCTCCAGAAGAAATGGGAAAACAGAACAGATTATAACACGTTTTCATTTCTCGGGAACATTTTGGCCGTTTGTTTTCTTTCTCGCTACGGTTGATTTGCATCTTTTTTCCTGCATGACTTTCGTTGCAGATATTGCAGCTAAACATTTCCCTGCATAACTACAAACAAAACAAAAGCCAGTCTCCTACATGCCCGTTAATTTTGGACTTGTCGAGCTGTGATTAGATTCAGGTGATTTGGGGGAGAAACTCCACATAAGTGAGTTACATCCTCTTCACAGCGAGGGAGTCCATGGTCTCCTGCTTGGTGATTCTAAGTTTGATCATCTGGTTAAACAAATGCCTCAGTTCCTTTTCTGATACTGAAACTGCAGATATACACATAACTGTTTGAGTATATACTAACCTTTCACTCTGATTTTATCAGGGCCTATTCAGGTAATTTATAATTACAATCAACAGTAAATCGGGAAGTCCCTCTCAGTGGTGACTTGGAAGGCAAATGAAACAGAGGAACGCGGGCAAGAGCACAGATATTTGTTCACCTGGCTTGAGCTTTGTACGCAAACGACTGCATGAAAACTCCTATAGGAACTGTAAATAAACATGTGTGCTGAAGTGTTCTCGACGTTAAGAAAACGTCAATTTAAAAAAAATATATAAAGTTTTAATGGGTAGACGTAAAATGGCAAACAGTAGGTTCCCTGCACGAACCTTTCCACATTTCAGTATTCCTGAAAGTTTTCACGAGAAATGATTAGGTTAAAGCCGTGCGTGGAGGAGTGTGCCTTTAATGCCAGCATTTAGGCGGATCTCATAGTTCGAGGCTCGCCTGGTCTACAGGGCGAGTTCCAGAACAGCAGGAAACCCTGTCTCAAAAAATAAAAAAACAGGAGAGAGAGAGAGAGAAAAAAAAGATTAGATTACAAAGGCACTCCCCACTACATGGGAGCGGGCGAAACATACACAAAGCTGGCTTGTGGAGCAGGCAGTGGCTGAGGCGTGAACGCACAGCAACAGCGCCACCCGCGCCGGGCTCCCCGTCTCTGCCCAGGCCGCCTCCTGCTCGCCTGGCCTCAGTGTTCGCAGCACACTCCATCACCTGGTTCCCAGAACTCAGATTGCGCAGTGGTCACGTCATCATCGGCAGGGCTCACAGCAGGCGGCGTGGGTACCCCTAAACCTGCAACCCTCCCCTCCCGCAGCCTCCCCTCCCCCTCGGGCCCTCACCCCTCAGCTCCCCGCCCGCGCCAGGTCCCCTGGCCCCATCACCTGCCACGGTTTCATAATCCTCTCAGGCTCCAGACCAGCAGCGCCGGCCACGTGAGGCCTGATCATATAAGGAAAATACCTCGGGCTCACTCGGGGCTGGATCGGGGACCCAGGCGCGCCCTGCTCTACCGCATTTCCCTTCCTGTCTCCAGACGCCCCAGCTTCCCGCGGGCGAAACCCTTAGTTTAGCCTAGGCCTCCGCCATCTGACTGCGCAGGCGCAGGGGCCGCCAACCTCACGGCGCCGCCCCCGGTCCCGCCCCCGCCGTCGGCCCCGCCCCTGCCGTCGGCCCCGCCTGCTTCCCGCTTGGGTTGGGGATGGGGGAAATGGGGGGCGGGGGTGTCTTGGCGCCAGTCCTGTTCTGCAATGCACGTTCCTGGAGATAGATAAATAGAGCGAGCAGGGTTTTTTAGAAGCCAGATGGGTGTGTGGCCGAGGTCATCCCCTGGTTCCCAGGGGAGGGGCGCGGGGCACACGTAGCACAGGATTAGGATAACCTTGACCCTGGCAGAGCAGGGAGGGAGCTGGAGGTGGGGGACTGGGGAATGTAGGGGAAAGGGCAGGGGGCGCGGCCTCGCGGGGCGCCGCCCACACTCTTAAGGCTGGGCTAGAGCGGGTGACCCGGGCGTCGCCGAGACAGCCCGCCGAGTAACCCAGTTGTTTTCACCATGTCGCTGCTACGAGGTGAGCCCAGCGCCCTTGGTGGTCCCCAGCCGGTCTTCGGCTTCTGGGCTCTGCAGGCAGGCCGAGGTGGCGGGGCGGGTGCGGGTCATTCCCCGGGCCAGGTTCAGGGTGGACATGGTTAGCATTGAGGAGGAAACTCCGTAGAAGGCAGGGACGACAGCGGTCTCGGTGCAGTTTGCAGCAGCGTACAGACTGGAGACCAGGATTGGCCATATGCTCCTGACCTTGGAGGTCACAGGCGTGGTAGTGAATACTTTCTCTGCAGGAAAACGAGGTGACGCCAGACACACGAGATGGTCTGGGGCAGAGCAGGTGTGCACTGAAGCCCAGAGGCCTGGTCTCAGCCACGCGTGTGTGGGGGGAAGATAATATTCCCCAAGAGGCTTCAGGGAACTTCCACTGGGGTGCCCTGATCCCTCGAAACAATCGGTAGTGGTCTGCTTGAAACTCCGCCTTACTCCTTTTTCTCTTCCGTTCCTTTAGTGTGAGCGACTGCGGACAAGCGCAGGCCCTCAGTACATAATTGCAGGGTTATTGTTTTCAGAAATTTCACACCCCTTTTTCATAGCAACTCATGACCGGAAACGGAGCTTTAACTTAAACACACAAGTCGCTGTTGACCATGAGGGTGAAAGAATACATATCAAGTCCCTGAGGCAGGAGAAGACTTCACGTGATCCAAAAACTATGTTGGTGCAAATACAAAGTGGACTGTGTGCAGGAGTTATCATAAACCCAGGGAACGCAATGCAGGCATTTCATACGGGGAGGGCAGTCTGGTCTCTACTCTGTCTTCATTACCTCTCAGCTCTGGCGCTGCTTTTAAAAATAAAGGACGGGCCGGCCGGTGGTGGCACACGCCTTTAATCCCAGCGCTCGGGAGGCAGAGGCAGGCGGATCTCTGTGAGTTCGAGGCTAGCCTGGGTTACAGAGCGAGATCCAGGAAAGGCGCAAAACTACACAGAGAAACCCTGTCTCGAAAAACCAAAATAAAATAAAATAATTAAGGACGGCAGGCAAGAACTTTGACTTAGGCGTTTGACAGTAAGGTGGCAACAGATAGATAGACTGTGATGGGTAAATGTAAAGGGAATGTCAAGTGACAAGAAGTTGGGTCTTGTGGAACTTTACTGTGGTGATACTCTTTGCGGGGAAATTGGGGAAGAAAGACTTGAAACCATTGAGGATTCGTTTTAGGTGAAGTTTTTGATACCTATGAAGTATATGAGGGGAGATGTCAACAGGTACTGCTGAGTGGGATCTGGAAATCAGAGGAGCCTAAGAGACGTGTGACTGAATGAAGTGCAATGTGGATATTCTGGGACAAAATGCAGTGTATCCGTGTTGCCATGCTTTTCTGATCATACAGATTCCTTTGAAATTTTAACAAATCTATTAAGGAAAAGTTTCGAGCCATGTCTGTGTTACGGAAATAAAAAGTTTATAAGTGTGTGTGTGTGTATGTGTGTGTGTGTGTGTGTGTGTGTGTGTGTGTGTGTGTGTGTGTTAGAGGGTGTGTTAATATTTTTCCAATTTCCCATCTTCCACCCAGGACATGAAATGTAAGTGACGACCTGTCATGGGTAGGTAGTGGGCATGAGCAGGAAGAACCCAAGCCTTGAGCCTGAGGTAGTTATTATTGTGGGCTAGTTAGAAGACCTCACAAGATGAGGCTCTGCTCTCAATTTGCATGCCAGCTACCTATGAAACTAGTGAGGAAGAAGGCCATAGGACTGAGTTCTGTGAGGGAAAGACACATTTGAGTGGGAATGTAACCAGCATTAGAAATGATTTCCAATGGTTCTCAAACTTGCTAATGCTTCCACTCTTTAATACAGCTCCTCAGGCTGGGGTGACCTCCAACCAGAAAAGTATTTTCCTTGCTTCTTCATAACTAATTTTGTGACTGTTATGACTCATGATGTAAATATCTGTTTTCTGATGGTCTTTGACGACCCCTGTGAAAGAGTCCTTCTCAAAGGGGTGGTGACCCAGACCCACACACGTTAGTTCTACTGTTCCATAGCTTTGCTGGGAAGGTTCAGGCCTCCTCTGGCAAGCAGGCAGGGCTGCCAGCTTACTCTTGAAACTAGTGAATGACTTGCAGTTTTCCTGCATTTTCCTTGGTTGTTGATGGTTGTCCCACAAGAGAACTTATGTAGCAAAGTTCATATGCAAGTCCATACAGTTCATGTTTTCCCTTGAGACTGGTTCCAAAGGTCTCTTTCCTATCTTAAGGGGTTTGTTGTTGTTGTTGTTGTTGTTATTTTTGTCTTTTAGAAGTTTTTAGCATCTGAATTCTCAGAGCATTTTAGATTTTAATTTGATATTAAAGATTTCTTTAGACCTTTAAATATCCACATATTGGCTTAGTATTGAAATGGCTTACGGAATAACCCTGTAAGGTTTCACATCCCACATTATTTTTTAAATAGTTGAACTGATACAGTTAGACTGACTTTTCTAGTCTGGGATCACCAGGTAAGGAGCAGTAATACAGATGAAAGGGAAGTTTGTGGGTTTTTATTTCCCCACATTCTTCTTTGTTGATATCACTTATTTTACAACTAGTACTACACTGTTTGGGTTGTGGCAAATGGGGAAGATTAGCCATGAAAGGGACTTTTGAAGAAACAGGAAATTAGCCTCCATTGTTTCCGCAAGATCGTCTGTGATCATTCCATCTTCCATGTACATATAATTCCCTTGCTGTGGGGCTGGAGAGATGGCTCAGTGGTTAAGAGCATGTACTGCTCTTGTAGAGAATCTGGATTTTGGTCCCAGCACCTCCATCAGGTGACTCCTAACTACCTGTAACTCCTGCTCAGCCCACTGCCCTTCCGGCTTCTAAGGGCACTGAACTCACTTGCACCGCCGCTGCCCGCCCCTTCATATACATATACATATACATATATATATATATACATATATATATGTATATATATATATAAATCTTAAAAATTCTTGTTTCGGGATTTCAGAAGTTTCACAGTGATGTGCCAGGGTGTGTGTGTGAAATGTATATTCTGTTTGGGCTTCACTAACTTTGAACCTACAAATTTAAATTTTACCAAACTTAGAGAATTTACATTTAGTATTTCTTCAAATTGTTTTCTTCTGATTCCTTTTTGTCTCTCTGGTACCATAACTGCTGTCAGTCCTGAGTTTCTACTCACTTTTTTCCCCACTTACTTTTTTCATGATAGACTTTTGTTGAGCAGTTTGGAATTTACAGAATGTACAGCACATTACTATATGGCAGTTCACCTAATTGTTAATATCATTAGTGTGGTACAGCTGGGGTTTTTTGTTTGTTTGATTGGTTGGTTGGTTTGGGGATTTTGGTTTTTTGGTTTTCTGGAGTTTGTTGTTGGTTTTGGTTTTGGGGTGTTTGTTTGTTTGTTTGTTTGTTTTCCTGAGACAAGGTATCTCTGTGTAGCCATTGACTGTCCTGGAACTCACTCTGTAGATGAAGGTGGCCTGGAACTCAGATCCACCTGCCTCTGCCTCATAAGTGCTGCTGGGATTAAAGGTGTGCACCACCATGCTGGGTTTAGTGGAGTAAGTTTCTTACAATTGATTAGCTAATATTGACACATTGTTATTTACCAAGGTCCATAATTTACATCAAGGTCCACACTTTGTTCAACTCAGTGCTTTGAGTTTAACAAATGTATACATGACATGCATCACCAGCATAGTGCAGAGGAATTTTTTTTGCCCTAAAAATCCCATGTCCCATCTATTCACCCTTAGCCAAGTGCTCATCTTTGTACTGTCTCTGTAGCTTTGCCTTTTCCAAATATTATATACTAAACATACAGTGTGTGGCGTTTTCAGACTGACTTCTTTTCGCTTAGCAGTGTGTACAAAAGATTCCTCATTTTATTGCCAAATAAAATTACATTTTACATATGACACTTCATCACATATCAAAGAGCATCTTAGTTGCTGCCGTGTTTTGACAATGACAAATAAACAATCATGTGTAGGCTTTCAAATCACTTGGGGAAATACAAAGGCTCAGAATCACCAGAGCAGGTGGTTAAGATGTTTTTGTATGAGATTGGTAAACTGTCTTCCAAAATGTATTATCTTGTCTTCCACTGACAATGAATGACTTCCTGTTGCTGCATGGCCTCACTAGTATTTAGTGGTGTCCGTATTTGGGTTTTAGCCATGGGACTGGCTGGCTGTGTGGTTGTAACATTGTTTTAATTTACATTAATGACCTCCAGTGTGGAGGTCTTTGCAGATACTTGTCTGCCATCTGTGTGATGAACTGTTTGTTCAGATCCTTTGCCCAGTTTTTAAAATATGTTTTTATTAATTCTTTAAGAATTTCTTACAATTGTATTTAGATAACTTTCACCCCTACTCTTCCCTCAAGCTCCTCCCAGATTCACACCCCACTTCCCACCCCCTCCCAATTTCATGTCCTCTCTTTCCCCTTTTACTTTTTGAGTAACTGCTGAGTCCGATTTGTGCTGCCTGTAAATAACTCGTGGGTACGGGGTCATGAACCGAAGTGTGATCAAC